AAACATTGCTGTTACGTCTACACAAATATTTCAGTTATTCCATGTCAGTTGGAATACTTTTTTCTTTTCTTTCATGATATTTTGAAAATCCTTTCGATATTCATCGCTTCAGACAGTTCTGTCTCAATTTTATGAAAACTGAACTGATCCAAAGCCAACAACAAATGAGAAATTTCTTCTGCAGCTAACATAAATTTTTTTTGATTTTCAAATTTCTATATACTATAAAACAGTCTAAGGTGTTCACCTTATTACAAATTTTGAGAAACATTTTGTTGTTGTAATTTTTTAAAGAAGTAAATTCAAAAAGAAATTTTTTTTCTTGTTAATAGATCTAACAAAATTGTGATTTTTGAAAAAATTTGAAAAAGGACAGGGAAAAATTGTTGGTAAGCAATGAATTGAATTTTAAGATATGCCACCAAAATGTCAATAAAAAAAAAACTTCTTATATTCACTTTGTCGACGAAATCGCCTGTTACTCTGAACTATCGCACTTAAAAAGCCCGGTTTTGAAGCTACCCAAATTTTTAGGCAGTTTCAGATGCACAATTGCTAAAACTTCAGCTGAAGCTGTCTATTGCAATATAAGGAGAAATTTAAATTGTAAAAAAAATATTGAAATTTTTTTAAAAAACCTTGTTTAAAAGACATCTGATCTTAGAAAAAGTAAAATTGATTAGTTTTGATCAAAAATTGGTCATTTTTAACCAAATTTTTTTTTTGCTTCAAAAAAGTGCTATTTTTTTGCTGATGTAAATCAGTAAAGTGAATCTTCTTATTTTGCGGTTTTGTAATCGTTTCCAACCAGATAAGAGTGTAAAATGTTCAGTACAAACTTTACCTTAACACGAAATATATTGCAAATTACTTGGGTTGTCCTATGTCAGTTCTTACAATCTTCTGCTTATCATTTTTCAGCTGATTAGTAAGGTTTAGGCCTCTCTATAAAAAAGCTTGAAGGAAATACTCAAAAAAGTGAATTTTTCAACAAGTTACATCCTCTCAAAGTCGCACAAATTGTCAGATTGCTCCTTGATACTGCCTGTCTTTGCAGACTTATAATTCAGCTCATCTTTATCAAAATTTGATAAATTATTTTACACTCTATTTTAAATTATATATTTAATAATTTGCTTTTGATAAAAACTTACATAGATAAGAGACAAATAAGTCTTTAAAGAAGTATAAGAGAATTTATTTTTAAATTTGTTAAAAAAACATAAATTGTGTAGAATTTCTTGTTTTATAGCGTATCAAAATTGGTAATAGTGCTTTTTGAAGTGCGGTATTACAAGTCAGAAAACAATGTAAGACCGAAAACCATGACTACTTTTACTATTTTTTTAGTAATTTTACAATAAAGAAACCGTTTTTAGCTACTTTCAAAAGTGACGAAAAGCGTCTGTCAAAATGCGGCGTATCTGAATGCTGAAAATTTGTTTCAAAAGTAGTTTTCCTCAAAAAGAATAGCAAATTATCATCTTGCATGGTGGTAAACAGAAAACTTTACTTAGTGTTTTTTTTCTTCTTCTCGTCAAAGCTACGCAATTAATTTATATTTTGGTGTCACTGGGAATTCTTAAAAAACTGCTGCTTTCTCCAGTTACCCATCAAACCCAGGTTTTTTTTTTGAAATTTTTTGTGGTTCGTTGGTGTCAAAACTTTCTTGAATAATGTCAAAGAAAAAAAAAA